TTATCTGAATTTGAACGTGGAGAAATTATTGGTTTAAAAAAGGCGAATTTTTCTTATAGGGAAATAGCCAACATATTAAATAGATCCAAAAGAGCAGTTGAAAACACCATTAATGATTATTTTAATAAAAATAAAACAACTGCAGCTCTCAGGACTGGCAGACCTAAAAATTATCAACTCATGATGAAAGGCAGCTTGTAAAAGCAGTAAGAAAAGTCCCTAAAACAACTGCCTATCAATTATCCAAACAACTTGAAGAATTAAACATTATAGCAAGTGAAAAGACTGTCAGGCGAACTTTACACACTAAAAATATTTATGGTAGGAAGGCTGTAAAGAAGCCATTAATTTCTGCAAAAAATAGGAAAAAAAGATTATTTTGGTGTCATGCAAGAAAAAATTGGGGAAATGAATGGGATAAAATTATATTCAGTGATGAGAGTAGGTTCTTACTATTTCAAAACGATTCAAATGATTAGGTTTGGAGAATGGCAGGAGAAAAATTTAAAAAAGAATATTTAAGTCCTTGAGATTAATATTTTACTTGATAGTTATATTGATGGAGATTGATGAATAAATAATAGGTTAACAACAAATCTGTATAATTTTCTTAATGTTGTTTTAATATTATTATTAAATAAAATAAAAATGAAAATATCTAAATAAACAATAAATAACAACAACAACAATAATAATTAATAATTGTTCTATTTTTCAAAAAAAAAAAAAGCAAAAAACTAACTAAATATTTAAAATTGTCCACATTAATTAATAAATAAATAAATAATAACATTACAGAAATAAATTTCTAACATATAATACAATCTTCTTTAGTCGCTTGATCTTTGGTATGTTTTGTAGGTCTTAAACGACTTGCACTTCCCATTTTTTTTAATTCAGTAAGATAAGTCATTGCTCTTTTATTTCCTTGAGCTAATTTAAAAAAATTTTTAATAAATCAATTTAATCATATTACCTAAATCATCATAAATAAAAATAACAATAATAATGATGATGATGATATTATGATGATGATAATTACCTGCTGCGCGCATATACCAACGTCTTGCTTCTTCAAGATTTGATTGTACGCCAACACCATGTTGATAATAATACCCAACTGCAAATTCTGCCTTTGCAAGTCCTTTATCAGCAGCTTTACGTGCCCATAAATAAGCTTCAGTATCTGATTTTTTTAGAACACCTTCTACCCCTCTAAAATACCAGCCAGATAATGCCAGTTCGGCGTCCGGATCACCTTTCTCTGCAGCTCGTGAATAATATCTGATTGATTGCCGTGGGTCTTTCAGACATCCCAATAGCCCATCCTCATAACAAGATCCCAATTTAAAACAAGAAGGCGCATACCCAAGATCTGCTGCCTTTTTAAATTCTTCTATAGCATGTTTTTCACTTCTAATTAATGATGGGATTACTGGTGGTTTATCCTCGGGTTTCTCATGTAACAAACCTAACTCGTGTAATGCGTGTGGATTCTCCTCATCTGCATTTGATGCAGCTCGTTTCAACCATATTATTGCTTCGCGAGGATTTGGATTTTGAGACAGTAGTCCATACAACAATATCATACCAAATTTGTACATTGCAGCAGTATCACCAAGAGCTGCCGCTTTACGAAAGAACTGTGTGGCACGATGTGGATCTCGTTTAGTACCAGCTCCAACTTCATAACAAACAGCTGTACGATAAGCTGCTCCTGCATGATTTTGTTTGGATGCTTGTATGTACAAACTGAATGCTTTATCTTCATCCTTTGCTAAACCCAAAGAACCGTGACCATAACAATTTGCAAGATAAAATTGCGCCTCTGAATAAGCAGGTCGACCAAACCCCATTCCTTGAGTTGCTAATCGTTTAATAATCTTCAATGCTTCTTGAACCAATTCATCTTTTTTCTTTTTTGCATTCCTAGGATCCAGGTCATTCTCGTTAGCTTCACCAGAAGCTTCAATCAAATATTTTGCAAATGATAGAAAAGTGGCTGGATTATTGCTTGCTTTGGCTTTCTGTCGATATTTTTCTATGGCTTCTGGTGTGAACGAAGGTTTTTCTTCATTTTTTTTTGAATCACTCTTTTTAGATATACTACTCACGTTTGATGGTGTTCTTTGTGGACCTGACATTCTATTATCCATATTGAGGAATCGTTGGTGTGGTTGTGGTGGTGGTGGTGGTAAATTATTATTGTAGTTGTCGTAATATATTGGTTTGCCATATTCGTCAGTTTGATAATTATCAATAGGTGGATATTCTTGCGATGGTGGATATTCTTGCGATGGTGGATATTCTTGCGATGGTGGATATTCTTGTGGATATTCTTGTGGATATTCTTGTGGATAATTATTAGGGTTATAGTATGAATTAGGATCATAATTAAGATTTTGAGGCGGAATTTCTCCTGCATAATATCCATCCACTGGTGGATATTCTTGATTCTCATTATAATTATAAACTTGTTCATGAGCCCCAGATTGATCGTAATATTGTTCGTTATAATAACCTTGTGGGTTTTGTGGATCGTATTGTGGATCGTACTGTGGATCGTATGGTGGGCCATATGGTTGGTCATATGATGGGTCATATGATGGGTCATATGGTGGATTATATTGATCATTATAATAAGGTTGTTGGATGCTATTGTTATAGTTTGGGACATTTTGCTGATTATTATTATTGTTACCATCATAATAACCTTCCTGATAATACGTTTCAGTATATGCTAGATTAGTAGTAGAAGTATGTGATATTGGTGGTGACGACAGTTGTTCTTTATTCGAGGGAGGACGGGGAGATGCTGTTCTATCTTGATGTTGAGAACGTATTGAGTGTGTTGAACGTATTGAACGAATGGACTGTGTTTCATGTAAATTACTTATATTATTAATTGGTGCTGAGTTTGAACGGTTGGGTGTTAAATTGGCACCATCGTCGCTTATTCTCAGATTGTCCATACGTAAACTTTCAACCGATAATGCACTTGATTGGTTAGGATTATTAACATAGTTGTTATATTCTGGATCTGTATGATGTCTGGGTGGATGCACTTGGTTATAATACGGGTCTTGTGAACTCATTCCTTTCTATCTTTCTCTCCTATTATTTATGTATATATATATAATATGTGATAATTTATTTTTATTGTCTAAACAATTTATCAATTGTAAAAAAAATTTTTTTTAATTTAATTAATTAATTCCATAAAGCAAGTTTTCAAAAATGAAAAAATAGTCATGTTACACGCATTAAACAATAATTACGTGATGAATTTTTCTCCAAATATTTATTATAATTTATTTCGAAACAATATAATTTTCCACAGATTAAAGTTTGGTTTCAAAAGTAGGGAAGATATATATGTGCGTGTTATTATGGCCTATTTATTACTATGAAGAATTGGTTGGATCCAATGTGATGAAAAATTGCAAATGTTGTTTTATTTGTTAAAAATAAATTATTATTGTGCAAGTCCCACAATTCGCTGCACCACAACGCCAATAATTAGACAAACCACGTGTCAAAATGAATGACTATAGTAATAGGACTGAATACGTCGCGATAATAATGTAGTAGATAGCGAGAAGAAAATACAACCAAAAGAAACTAGCGATTTTGCATTATTATTATTTATTGTGGGCATACAGGAACCGCCGATGGTACATACAGAGGTCACATGAATTTTTCAAAAGTTTTTATATGGGGCATACTGCGACAAAGTGAACATTGGTATTACCAAGAATTTCAGGGATCAAAATTTAGTCATTTGTAATGTGATTATAATTATTATTATCAGTTTTATAATATCCCATTTGTTATCTTAAGTGATATATAGAATTACCTCTATATAAAAATAGTTAATATGAAACT